TTTTCTGCTCTGCATATTGTATGTGAATACATTGGAGCTAACAGTTAAAAAAAATGTCATGGTATGTATTTTGTACTACAATGTGATAAATGGTTTAGCTGTCATCCATCCATCCATAGTATGTGGTGTAGTAATCTTAAGTATTTTATACCTTTCAAAATAAATTTGCTATATGAAGTCAAAGTGAATTTCCACTACTATATCTGCATGTCAACATTTAACACTTCTTCCACAGTATACTAAGAAAAGTTCACATCAATTCATGAACTCACTCCTAGAAGATAAACTCTCTTGTTTCTAGTTATGTAGATCCACCTCATAAACCAGTTCTATAACTAACTAATCTATAGTAGCTGTTTATAACCCATCCACTCACTTTATCAAAGATGCTTAAAGGAAAATTCCGGTTTTTAACACTTTTAGCCCCTTTTCTGTAGTGTCCAGGATGAAATCGAATGATCGACACCAAAATTTTGACGATTGGTCCTGTCTCGGCTATTTGGCTCATGTAGAATCCCCCCTGGCTGCTTCAGAATGGCTTGCATAGTGCATGTCAGATAATGTCCTTAAAACAACCTTAAACGTTCTTTTTTTAAAATATGCTACAGCGCTGTTCAATGACGTTCCAAAAAACGTTTCGTGAAGAAAAACCGTTCCTGTCTTGTTTTATTTAGCATTTTGTAAATCCCAGAACTATTTTTTCCGATACATCACAACCGCTTATAAACTTCCGCTTCCCGTTCGAATCTGAAGCGTTGCACACTCCAGACCACTAGTTGGCGACAATATCTCTATACTTTGGGAATGTAGGACCACTGTGTAGGACATAGCAAACAAATTTTCAGAGTTTTTTAACAGAGACGTTAGCACCTCGACGTCGGAGTACACAGAGTGAAGCAGAAACACTTGGGCCTTGCGAAAGGACTACAACTAAGCGTAAACAGGCCCCGTTTCCGGTGGCGGAGGGATATTGACTATTCCAACAGAACTCAATGGGATTTACAAAATGCTAAATAAAACACTACAGGAACGTTTTTTCTTCACGAAACTTTTTTTGGAACGTCATTGAACAGCGCTGACGACCCGGTGAGTAGCATATTTTAAAAAAAGAACGTTTAAGGTTGTTTTAAGGACATTATCGGACATGCACTATGCAAGCCATTCTGAAGCAGCCAGGGGGGATTCTACATGAGACAAATAGCCGAGACAGGACCAATCGTCAAAATTTTGGTGTCGATCATTCGATTTCATCCTGGACACTACAGAAAATGGGCTAAAAGTGTTAAAAACCGGAATTCTCCTTTAAGAGAAAAAGTTCCACAGATATACTGTATTTTTTCTAGACAAAAATGTCTGCTTCACAAGGTTGTTGAAGACTCTTGGGGGTAAATGAGAAAAATGTGAAAAGGATGTCAGTCCCTGGAAAAGTTTGATTAGTCTGCCACAATGGAGAAGCGTTTATTCACTCAGGGACTTACTGCTCAAGAAATACAAACATACCTGTCTGATGAAAGCAGAGCTGTGGGTATGAATGCTGAAAGCTCCAAGAATGAATGGCAATATAGGCATCTAAAACTGCATGTGGTCTTATAGGCTTTTGATTGAAATGTCTTGTGAACCAAGTTATCATACGTCTCAATACTCAAAGTCTCTGGACTTTTGGAAGCACGTATGTAGTTGATCTATTGCTTTGATGTTGCAAAGTGAACACATATAGTTATTATTTAGTGAAAAATACATCCCTGTTATTAGGGTTGGGAATTGATAGGATTCTCACGGTTCCGATTCCTTTATCGATCCTGTGAAATTATTTGATTCCTTATAGATTCTCTAATCGAGTCTGTGAAACAATGAACTTGGTAAGAGCACGGTGACATTTGTCTAGCTTCGCCTGGGACAATCTATTTCTGCCTGCCTTGGCGAAAACAGAAAGCAATTAACGGGAGCTGCCAGCCAGGCTACCCCTCATCTAAATCTAATGGAGAAGGCATTTGTTTAATGAAAAAGCATTACTGTACAATTTTGGGAAATAAACTCATCTGCCTTTAAGTTAAATAAACGAGCGTCACCTTTCTCTGGCTCCTTGAACTGTGAAGCAACTTCATAGCCTGTTTAATAACCCCAAAGAGAGGTAGGAAATGGGTTTATTTCCAGAAATGGAATATGATGTAGGAACCACATTAAGCACAGCCGGTGATATAAAACTAGCTACTTTCCACCAGATTTGCCTTCCATGCTGGCCGTAACTTTAGCTTCTGTCTGGAAGCATCAAAAACACGGCATTCGTTAAAATGTATGCCATGTAGTGTGCGCAGGTGTTTCTACATGTTGGATGTATTTCCTCCCACGGATGTGATTGCCACTTTGAAATGATTGCAAAGTGCCTCGTTGCCATCTTTCTCTTCCTTAAAATGAAGCCAAACTATCGAGTGCTTTGACCGCTTTTGTTTTGCTTTTCTAGACTTACGCCTGGTCACGTCGTACTTGCTTACTGAATGCCATGTGTGTAGCTTGCGTTAAAAACGTGGCGTAAGTCCAGTGCTAGGCTCTGGTGCTGCCTTGAATCGTTAAGAGAATCGTTAAGCGAGCTGCCAAACGGTGCCATGGAATTGAAACACTTGGAACCGGTACTGAACAGGATGGGTTTTCGATTCCTATCCCTACCTGTTATCTTGTTTTTATATAAAGAAATTGTACAACAACCACTGCCGCTTCTGAAGTCATTTCTCTTAACACCAACTATTGCCAGTAGGATAACCTTTAGTAGTGTGCTTAAATAACTCAAGAGGTAGGAGCAAACTGACATTCATTGATTAAGTCTAATTGAGTTGGTGTATGGTGTCAACTCTTTAGACTGTGATGCCCCCCATACCTAACAATTACATAGACTATGTGACCCAGCATACATTTGAGCATTCTAGGAGGTATTAAACTGACATTGGTATCATATGACCAAAGCATGTGCTTCTGGTTAAAGTCCTTATTCCACATGTTTCCATTTGTAATGGCAGGACAGAAAACATCAGCTTGTCTAGAGTTATATACATTTTAAGTTATGGAGCTCTGCATCAATTGTTAAGACTTAATAGCATATTTGAGCCCATAAGTTGTTGAATTAAAAATAATTAATAATATTGACGATATTTCCTTTGTAGCAATGATGATGTTTTTTTAAGTAATGTACAAACTGAAAATTTTTAATTTACATAAAAATTTTAACTAAAATGTTTACATAAAATGCATAGTTTTTATTCAAATAGTTTTGTAAGACTTTCTAAATAGGGCTGTTTTTTTATATATTAAATATTAAATTGATGCAGTTAAAGAAAAGGCTGAATTTGGTTTAATTTTTTGAAAACAGTAATCAAATACCCTCTAATTTCAGCAAATTTAGCCATTAATTTAAAAAGTTTTTTTTTGTCTGTAAGTTGAAAGTTGAATCATAGAGATTTATCTGCACAGAGTTTTGTTCTCAGTAAAAATCTCTCCAAAGGGAGGATGTTTCTTCACCTGAAATTATTTGGGGGTTTTCTTACGTGTTGAATACATATGTATTTTTCTTTTCTTTTTTGTTTTTATCTCCCTGATAAGGAGTATTTCTTAGAAAGCAAGCATCACATTTAGGTAAAGTGAGATAAAAAAGAAATCCTGCCACAGCTGGAGATTTTCTCAGAGGATGAGCCCTGCCAGTGTCTGTCAGGTTGGTAAAGCAACTGAGTGACAGAAATGGTCGTCAGACAGAGCCACAAATGGAGAGAAGCACATTGTTGTTAAGAAGGAAAGTGTTTTATATAAAAGAAGTTTTCTATAAACTAAACTAAGCTTTTATTTCCTAAAAATGTATATTTTACGTGATTAAGTAAATATTAGTTTAAATGAATGCTTCCTTTAAAGCAGAGAAATTATTAGATTTTATATGGATGCATCAGAAGATGTCTTTGGGTGTGATTCTGGACGGTTAGATCAGAACATAAATTTCTCGTAGTTCTGAATACATTTTTATTCAGGATCTCATTTATTATCATGTTCAAACTAAACTTTCACTGTGTGTATTTACACGGTATATTATATACTGTCACATTGGTTTGAACTTGGCTTGCAGCTAATGATTAATATTTGATCACAATTAATCAACTCAAGGGTCTTGTACTACATCAAGCAAAATGTCAGCTCTCTCTTCAAAGAGTAAATACTCTGCTGCTGGTAGCTGCATATGCATACATAGTTGTGATAAAATAGAATAAAATAGAATAGAACAGATGGCCCACAATGGTAAACTCAACTGAACTTTATTTATAAAGCCCTTTAAAAAGACCAAAATTGCCACAGTGCTGTACTTCACTGCTGTAGATAAAGTATGTGTTAAAATTTTGTTTTATTGCAGCCTTTGTTGTTTTAGTGCAATTTCCTTTTGAGCCTACCGCATCATATAGCAAGTCAAAACTTTACTGACGGCATACTTTCAAAGGTTTGATACCAAATATGGTCTGAGTCTTAAAAAGCTGTCCACCTTTTAAGAAAAATTAGAGCATTTCACTTTCTAAAACTCCATAAAACTGTCTGGAATGATTAAGGTACCTTTACTGAGGAACCAGGAAACTTTTTGTGTTTAATTATAAAGCGAGTTTTAATTTAGGGCTAACCTCTAAAAGTCTCTTGTTTTATCAGAATTATTTAGATAAAGAAATAGTGATGCATTCATTCATTTTCTGTCATTCCTTAGTCATCTGTATTAAACATTGTTAATATTCCATTCCTCCTAGTCCTTGTCTTTCTTCCTACTTTTTATCCCCGTTCAAATACCTCCTTTCGCTGACATCAGCATTTCTGATCTGCTCTTTTTTCATTCAGAATCCCGTTTCCTTTTTATCAGCTCTGAAAGTGGGAGAGATACAGCTACCGAAACCTAATTGTCAAGACAAATTGTGTCCTTCCAACAAAGTCCTATGTCCCAAAGCCTCTGATTCTATTTCCCTTTTCTTTTCTTGTGGTGTCTGTAGGTGAGTGGGATCAATACATCACTTAGCAAGAAGCGTGAGCAGCGGGTCTTGTTCATGGTAGTGATCATGGTGATCTGTTACCTACTGTGTTGGCTGCCATATGGGATCATGGCCCTGTTGGCTACCTTCGGGCCGCCTGGCCTTGTCACACCTGAAGCAAGCATCATTCCCTCAGTTCTGGCCAAGACGAGTACAGTTATCAACCCGGTCATCTATGTCTTCATGAATAAACAGGTGAGGGGGTCAGAGAGAGGATTCTAACTTATTTCACTTTCTTTTTGGCTTTCCTGTAAGGCTGAAAGGATCCGAGCCACTGACAACAGCCTAATCTCACTTAGTATCTTGAGATCATATGAGTAAGCCAATGCTTTATATTAAGGTACTTTTAAATGCCATCTTAGCTCGGAATGATTTTCAGTGCAAAAACATATGAGTATATAAATGTTAACCTGAAACATAAAACAAAATGAAACACTGTGGAGAAGAATGAAAGTCCAATAATGTGGCATGTTATGGTGCTAACAAGACAGTAATCATTTTATTTCCATACAGCCAAGGTCAAACTGAATGAATCTGACATGTTTTGTGATCAATTGATCAAAACTCTTCTTGTCTCTAAAACAGATTCAGGCTTTTTTCCATGTTATTAAAGCCCTCACTATTTAAAATGTTCATATTTAAAGGTATACTATGCAACCGGTGTTGATTTTCCATCGAGGCTCCCCCCAGAGGGCGAAAGTAAAAGTGCACTGTCGTAAATATGCTCAGCTGTTCTCCTGGTTTCTCCGTCAAGCCAGGCGCGGTTGTTTTGAGCTTAGCAGACAGGCGAACGCAACGAATCACCATGTCTACTGCGGTAATTACTGTTTTGTTCCATTTGTTCCAACAGACCACCAGGGCGGCCAAGAAAACCTTCGTTCGACCTGAAATGGCTCATTTAATCATCCAAAACGTTATGGAACACATTAATTAACTGAAAAATGTTGCATAGTATGCCTTTAAAGGCACGGTTTGTGTTGCTGTTAGAAGGATCTGGGATCTTTGTATTACCAACTTTTATGGATTCTTACTCTTTGTTTTATTGGAGGTAAAGAGAGTACATGTTAACAATACAGTCCTCCAATTTAAAACAGTTGTGTGAAAATAAATGTATTTATGTTGTTAAATATCTAAATAAATAACAATAAAACATTTTCCGATGAACAACAGGCATATATGGCAATGGTATTAAGACAACAGGTGACTGAGTTAACTGTCGTAACAGAAACTATTAAAACTAGTACCTATGAAAGGTAGACAGAGAAATGTTAAAACTGTTGAAAACCATTAGAAATAAAATACTGACACTATGTTTAGGGCTGCAGCTAACAGTTATTTTGCCAATCGATTACTTTGATGATTTTTTTTTTAAATTAATAATCAGATAGCAAAAGGTTCCTTAAAGAAGACTTTTTGCTAAATTAAACCAAGTGAAAATAAAGCTTTTCCAATTGAGGATTTCTGGACAGACCATATTGACAGACGAAAAGTATTTAGAACTTAAATGCAAAGTGTTTACACATTTTTTTTCCAATCTTGGTATAATTGCTGCTCTACAGTAGTTGGGTTGCTCTGTCAGTTACAGGCATGTTTTAGAGTCTCTATACTCCACTTAATTATTGATTACTAAATTAGTTGATGATTATTTAAATAATCCATTAATCACGATTAATCCAATTTTATTGTTTCAGCCTTAATTATTGTTATATTCCAGTACGTTTTAAAATAATATGAGGTTAGATCTCCTTAAAAATAACCCTTAAACTCAATTGTAATGTGCTTAAACCAATTCACAATGCAAACCAAAAAGATCAAACTGTATTTTATTAAACCAGTCCTTCAGATTATTTTTATAAATACAGTTACACAGAATGTTCTACAGAATGTTTTACCAAATTAGAAATCAATAACATTTCAGACAATTTCAGATACCTAATGCTTTGTTGGTTAGCTTTTTGGAATGGTCAGTTTGACTCCTTGACGTTTAAAATGGACGACCATATACAAAACATTTGATCTGATTAATGTGTAAATAAAGAAAACTTTATTTTATTATCTAATGCACTTATTTTGTTCATGTTTTACAGAAAGTCTTAACTAATATTAATGCTATTAATCTGTATTGGGAACATTTACTCCCATACATGCAGAGGTAACACATTGTATGAAACAGCAGGTTGAGATTGACAATTGTTGCAAACAGAAATTGGATTGTTTTGTCAACAGTAGAGAGCTTTCTAACAGAATTATAATGAATAAATGTGTTTCTGCCAACTAAAACACATTTATCCACGAATCACTTGTTATAATAATTTAAAAAGCATAATTTTCTTCTTAATGGTTTTAACTCACATTAGTTTTAAACCATGGTAATGAATATGTTTAATCACCAGCCAACATTATAAGATGTGTGATAACATCAAATCGATGCAAAAGGATGCATCTCATATAATCTCTTAATTGCTACATCAAAAATATTGCAGTAACCCTTTTTACAGGTCCAGTACAGACTAATTATGTACTAAAATCTAAGGCTGCTTCAATGTTCCCTTGCCAGGTTATTATACAACACTGGCATCACTAATAAAAGATTTTTATTTATGAATCAAGCTGCTTTATCTTTTGAATTATTGGTTATGGGGAAAAAAAGTGTGTTCTATTGCACGCGTTAGTGAATTATTGGGGCCAGTGGTGAATAACCTAGTTAGTCTGGGCTCTGCTCATGCTGTTATGATTGAGGTGATGTAGACACAGGGAGTCAAGATAAAGGCCAAAAAATCTAACAAGGCTTGGAAACAAACTCCATCAGATATTTTTTAGTAAATCCTCTGACCACAGCCCCAGTGGCAAATGAAAGAAATATACAGTGCATCTGATTAGGAGCTACAATGGCTGTATGTACACACGGAATTGGAAATAAACAGCCTTCCAGTAGAAATATTTCATCAATGCAGACCATGAAAATATGGTCACATTTTTCATGCAATGCTTGAAAGTTTTTTATTTGATTATATTCAGTGACCAATGAAAACAACCGTGTTTTTGTTCCTCCCTTCTGCTGGACCTTAGAGCTCGAAGGTCAAAAACAATGGCTAAAACAGATCCAAGGTTCTCCTTTCTTAAAATTTGATTAGCCTATTTTGAGCAAAGATCTGATGAATATAAATCGGATTTACTGACCCTCATTGACCTATTAATAAGAAGGCTCACACAGTGTTGCCACAAAGGAAAAGGGATGTGGGCAAGAATTGCTTAAGCATGATTCCAGTTACTTTTAATTTAGTCTCATTTGTCAGCCTGTTTCTTCATCATAATGTATAATGTAAAGCTGATTGTGTATCTTCCTACTGCTCTGTTCTAAATGGGAAACAACCGGTTGGATATTTAATGACATTGGTTTATTAAGATAACAGGATTCCTTTAAACAAAGGCTCAGCACAGGTCAAAGTTATGACATCGATTTATGTTTTTCAATATTATTGCCAGTTCTCTGTGTTGTTTCTGTCTGCCGCTGTGCTGCTGATACGCTCTTCCCACTGAGGGACTATAGATATTCCCTTTTCTATTGTATTCTATGGAATTCACAATAATTAAGAGATTCAAACTATTTTTTTCAGTGGTCTGCTGAACATGTTTATAGATTTAAAAAAATGCGGTCTGAAAAGAAGAATACATTTTGTTTGCAGCTGTGAAACATTTTCTTGAGAGTCGTAAAAGTTCTTGGCCAATTGATTGCTAAATACATTGGAACAAATTATTATGTGTTGATTAATCTTTTAATTTTCAAGTCCGTACAGTTTTATTTATATAGCAGCAATTCCCAACCGTTGTCATTTTAAGAGACTTTTCAATCAGATTAGCATTTTTAAAATTATATGTTCTTGTTTTCATACCACAGCATGTCATAGCATACGAAGATACTCCATATTTATCTTTAGTTGAATTACACTTCAGCATCATCTAAACTTATTCGAAACTTATTTTTTTTTATGTTATATTTTTAAATCTTTTTTTTTGTAAGTAATAGAACACGTTACAAAAGCTTGATATAAACTCACACCTATTTACACTGTAGATTAATTGAACTTAGGAGGCTAATGTCTTGGGCTGACTCCGGTCGGGAAAGTGTGACATATTTATAGCCAACAAATCTTTACTCATTAGTGTTAATCATAGATGGTATACAATTGATATAAATTTCAGTTCAGGATATTTAAGCAATTATCGAGTAGGGAGATAGTGACACACTAGCAATAGTTTTTAATTACACCAATGTATGTTAAAATAAATTATTATGGCAAAGTAGCTTTATTCATTATATGAAGTGTAATGTTGATAATTACTATAAATCTTTTTTTCAAAGGAGCATTAAATAATATTCACACCTATAGCATTTTCAATCATAAAGCCAACAAAACACATATTTACCTAGCAATACTTATATTTTCAAATCTTCCCATTCTTTCACCCAAAATGAAGCTCAAGCGGAAGTTCAATTGAAGAAACTCTGGCTTACCTCCATCCAATCAGAAGCTGATACGCCTCTGCTTTCACTTTAAAAGCACCTTCAAATCCTCATCTCAGCCTGCTATCCAGCAAGCGCAATCAGCATCCCATGATGTCAGATTTCGATTCAGACGACCAATTCACCCACCTCCATCCCCTCCTCCGCCATCGTAGCTGAGTCATCTTCCATGACATGACTTCACCTCAACCTCATCAGAAAGTATTAATCCCAGTCGTCACCATCCCTCGTCTCATTGCAATTGGTCCGGCAGAAGACCACCATGTTGAGCCCGGTTCTGCCAGAGGTTTCTTCCCAAAGGGTAGTTTTTCCTCTTCACCGTCGCTTCATGCTTGCTCATCATGGACAGTTCATGGTACCTGCATCACCAAGCAGGACCTCTATATCCTGAGTCTCTGAGTGAAGTCCTGGTGTCAGCTCCCACAGTCTTCTGGTCCCACAATACAGCTCAAGCAGATCACCTCATTAACCAGCTTGAACTAAACCACCACCAGTTTCAGGCCAGGGGGGAACATCCGTATTCTCATTCATCTACCTATGCATGTTAAAGCATAATTCAGCATTAATGTTCCTGCCGAGGTCTGAGCGCCAAAGACTATACTATCATATCAATAAAATTCTTCTAATTATCTTTTCTTTCTGTGTGAGTTTTTCAGATTGAAATACCCTT